CCTGGCCAACATGACAAACCCCATCTCTACTAAAAATACAAAGTTTAGCTGGTGCGGTGGTGTGCGCCTGTAATCTCAGCTACTGGGAGGCTGAGGCAGGGGAGTTACTAAGACATTATTAAAAATTTTGTATTGCCCTCTCATAGCACTGGAGTGTGGAAATAAATGAGAAAAAAAGAGGAAATTCTGGATAAGAGATTTGATACTGAGAGAAAAATCACAGAGGAGAAGATTCTACTTAGAAAAGAGTAGTATGTTCTAGACTTCTGGAAAAATTATATTTTTAAGAGTACTTTATTTATTTATTTATTTATTTATTTATTTTGACATGGAGTCTCGCTCTGTTGCACAGGCTGGAGTGCAACAGGGCAATCTCGGCTCACTGCAACCTCTACCTCCCAGATTCAAGCAATCCTTCTGCCTCAGCCCCCCACATAGCTGGGATTACAGGTGCCCGCCACCAAGCCCGGCTAATTTTTCTATTTTTTATGGAGACAAGGTTCTACCATGTTGGCCAGGCTGGTCTCGAACTCCTGACCTCAAGTGATCCACCTGCCTTGGCCTCCCAAAGTGTGGGGATTATGGGCGTGAACCACTGTGCCCATCCTGAGGGTCACTTGTTAGATACGGCTATCATTAAAAGTTAAGTTAGAAAAACTTTCAACTAAAGAAGTTATATTAAAAACGTAAAAAATGCCCCCCAACTCATCTTTTTGAAGTTTACATTTTATTATTATCTATGCTCTTGAGATTATTTACATCTAATGCATTTGTATGGCAGAAATACTATATAATGGTTTGCTTTTTTCCGTTTCTTTCTCACCCTGCATTCAGTGGTATGGCAGGTGAGGCTTGAAATTGGCCATGATGAGAGTACTTACACCATAGAAACAGGAAAATGCCTTTTCTAAGCCAATGAGATACCAGGAAAGCTTTTCAGAGACTTGGATCAGAGCTAAGGCCTTTTTCCTTTTGGATGTGGACCAAAGAGAATGCAAAGTCCGGCACTGGCGGCAGCCATCTTGCCAGTGTTTAGGGAGACTCCAGTGAGAGTGGAGCCAAGGTAGCAAAAGCCAGGAGAGAGAGGTGGAGACAAACTGGTACTGGGGACATGGCTTGTTCATTTCCAGCAGTAGCTCATCCCACCCCTAACCCTACACTTTTGTTTTTTCTGTAAGAGACAGGGCTTCACTCTGTCCTGCAGGCTGGAGTTAAGTGGTGCAATCATAGTTCATTGAAGCCTCAAACTCTTGGGTTCAAGCAGTCCTCTAGCTTCAGCCTCCCCAGTCGCTGGGACAATAGGCTGTGCCACTATGTTCAGTTGTTTTTGTTTTGAGATAAGGTCTCGCTCTGTCGTCCAGACTGGAATGCAGTGGTGTGATCATGGCTCACTGCAGTCTCAACCTGCTGGGCTCAAGCAATCCCCCCACCTCAGCCTCCCGAGTAGCTGGGATTACAGACCTGTGCCACCATACCTGGCTAATTTTTGTATTTTTTGTAGAGATGGGGTTTCAGCCATGTTGTCCAGGTTGACCTCAAACTCCTGGGCTCAAGCAGTCCTCCCACCTGGGCCTCCCAAAGTGCTGGGAGGGTGAGCCACCATGCCGGGCCCTCTACACTTTTTAATTGAGCCAATAAATTTTTTTTTTTGTATTTAAGTGAGTTTGGTTTGAATTTTCTATCGTTTACATTAAAATCAAATTAAATGACACAGCAATGTCTGCACCAGGTCCGGAATTACACTGCTAGCCCCTACGGTGGCTTCACTTGGTAACAGTAACTTAGAGGGATGGGAATTCTCCATCCTCAATCGTATTCTGATCTTGTATTATAATCCTCTCTTTCACAAACAGATATTTGCTTCATCTAATAAGCCTTATATAATTTCCCTTGCAGGCTGGGATCAGTTTTTCTCAGTCAACACTTTTGTTAGAGTGATATACATTCTTTTTTTTTTTTAATTAAAAAAATTAAAAAAATACAAACGAGGTCTTGAGGATAGGATAGGTATTCTTAGTTGCTGGTGACCTAACAGCTACTCTGTCCTACTCTCCTCTTCCGTGATAATAAAAATTGATTTTTATTCAGAGCTGCAAAGCCCCAGAAGATGAGTCATGATTTAATCTCATTACCCTTTATCACATAATTGCTTTCCAGCCTTCCTTACAGCTAAGTTTGGCCATGGAACCCAGTTCCATGGCTTCTACTCTTAGAAGGCACACATATACAAGCATTTTCATGTCTATAATCACTCAGCAAATATTTGCCTTTGTACCATGTAGTGTGCTGGGCACTAGCACAGAGATGAGCAAAACATCTGGTCATTAACTTTCTTTACCTTCATGACTTTTTTTTTTTTGCCTGTGTTTGAGAACAATACAAGGTGGCATTAGTGGCTTTAAAACCCCAAAATATAACCTGAAATTTTAATCTTGTTTATTCATTCTCAGAGTGCCTTGCTAAATTACATCTTGTTAATGTGTGGTGATCATGTTAGATCTGAAGTCTATATAGGCCAAACATGCATTTATAGAAATTCTATTTCTTTTTTGATACAGTCTTATCTGTACTTCTTTTTTTTTGGAGAGTGTTTTGCTCTTTTACCCAGGCTGGAGTGAAGTGGTGCAATCTCGGTTCACTGCAACCTCCGCCCCTTGGGTTCAAGTGATTCTCCTGCCTCAGCCTCCCTAGTAGCTGGGATTACAGGCACCCACCACCACATCTGGCTAATTTTAGTATTTTTAGGAGAGATGGGGTTTTGCCATGTTGGCCAGGCTGGTCTTGAACTCCTGACCTCAGGTGATCCACCCGCCTTGGCTTCCCGAAGTGCTAGGATTACAAGCGTGAGCCATTGTGGCTGGCCTGTACTTCTTATGTGACAGTGTAAAATGAAGGCCACTATGTATTTCAATTAATGGCATCTAAACTTGGTTCCTCACTTGGGTAGGACATGGAGCAGTTTGTTTTTTTGAGAATTCTAAAGCAAACCTTGTTAACTCTGAACAGATCTTGAGAGATCTAATGTCAGAAGTATGTATTGAGCACCTGAAGTCTTTACCTTCAGTTTTTCTAAATATTTTACCTCCAGTTGATGCCACCTCTGAATCCACATTTGGAAATTCATAATTCTTCAGATATTTTTTCTTTTATGGGGTAGAACCTCTCATGAATACTTTTTAGTGGGTTGAAACATAGTTACATAGCATTAATATTTACAGTCACCTAAACTTATTTCTTTGTTTACCGATCCTCATCTCCGTGCCTCTAGATGAGATTGTGCACCTGAACTGCAGGCTCCCTTTAGGACCTCACTGGCATTGCCTTGTAGTGACTCATCATTATAGTAAATTCCACCCAGCTCAAACTAATCCCAAAATAGGGTTCAGGGATTACCGACAAAGGCTAGGCTAATTCTTTGCATAACAGCCGAGTGGTAGAGCAGAAAAAAACAGGAATCAGAGAGTCCTAGATTCAAATTCCAGTTTGACCATTTGCAGACACTTTGACTTAGAGCACTTTAAGTATCATCACCGAGCCTCCCTTCCTCATTCGTGAAGAGGGATCATATTACTTACCTTACAGCATTTGTGTTGTAAGGAGTCAATAAGATCATCATACGAGTGAAGTGCCAAAGACCATGCCTGGCCCACAGATGTCATTAAACACGGTAGCTGTTTTCTCCCTAACTATAAATCAGCATCATTGTCTGAGGTAAATACCCGAAGTTCGTCATCTCATGCCAGGGAAATCGGGGATACGGACACGTAAGAAGTGAGTTTAAGAGCAGAGATTTAACCAGGGAAAGAAAAAGAGAATAGCTCTCTCCTGCAGAGAGAGAGGGGCGGCCGAGTGGGTCTTCCGGTTTCATGGTGAAATGCATGGGATTTTGCAGAGGAGCTTGAGGAGGTGGTGTCTGATTTACACAGGGCCTGAGAGGTTGGTCGGACCAGGCATACCATTTGCATAGTGTGCAAAGAAGATGGCTATCCCACCCTAATCTTTGATTATGCAGATGGGGTCTCTACCTGGCTGGTGCCATGTTGTCTGCTTTTTTACTGCACATGTGGTGACAAAGAAAAGGAAAAAGAGGATCTCCGTGCTGAATATACCTGCCTTCCAGGTATCCCTTTTCTATTGGCACAGCTGCTGGCGGTTACCTATGGAGGCTTTTAGCTTGCTTATCTATGCCTGCACCTTGATTTTTTGGGCTGCTTTTTATGAAAAGGAAATCTTATCGAGGACTCTCTCACCCTTACTATCTGCCTGAATAATTTCTTTCTAGCTCCTGTATCAACTAGATTGAAAGTTTCATGAGGCCTCAAATCTGATGGATCCCAGTTGCTGTTTTTCCAGTAACTAGAATAGTGCTGGGCACATGCTAGACACTTAACAAATACTTGGTCATTGATTGTTATAATTATTATCATAAAAGTCAGGTAAACTCCAGTGCCTTCTTCAAAGAATCCTGCCTCCATCCTCTTTTGCAAATTAAGTCCAAGCACAAATCTTTCCATGAAGCCACATCTGTATGCTCTAATTTGTAACTATTTCATGCTTAACTGGCACCACCTCCTCCCCTCCTTACCATTTACTGTCGGGATTAAACAGGAGTGCACTGCATATACAACGTAGGGCCTAGATGATTTCTCCATATCTTTGAGTCTTGTCTTCTTAAAATTCAATTCTACCAGTCATTCTTGATTGTTAAGCAATTGCTGGGCAGTGTGCTGGGTTCTAGAAAAGAAACAGTAGCTGCCTATAGGAGTACCTAGTCTTTCAGTGGATACAGCTTTGTAATCTAACAATTACATCACAAGGTGATATGAAAAACTATAGGCACAGATATCTAGGTAGCAGAGATGGGAGAAAGTGATTAACTTTCTCAAAAATCAGGTTATAAGGAAATGTGACTTTTCAAGGAAGGTTAGGAATTTTCCAGCTGGTTAAGGTGGGAGAAGAATATTCCAAGGAGAGTAAACAATATGTGCCCAAGGGCATGAGATAGCAGGATATTATCCTGGAGAACGTAGAAGCAATTCAGTACTGTTGGAGCATGATGAAGCAGCTAGGAAGTAAGGAGGGGGCCAGGAAATTGAGGATGATAAGTTCAGAGACAGAGCCAGTGGCCATATGTAGCAAAGTTTTGAATGTCATAAATACTGTGGGTGACGGGGACCCTGGAATGGGATTATCTGAAGAAGTTTAGAAATGACCTTTGATGGCAGGGTAGAAAATACACCAGGAGAAAAAGTAAAAGAGATTAAAGCTGCACAATACTTCAGGAAGAAGTATGAGTGGTCTGGATGAGAAACACTGAGGGCCTGATGTGTAGCAGGACAAGCCGCAGACAAAACTCCTCAGACACAGAGTTAAAGAAGGAAGCAGTTTATTCGGCCAGGAGCATCGGTAAGACTCCTGTCTCAAGAGCCAAGCTCCCGAGTGAGCAATTCCTGTCCCTTTTAAGGGCTCACAACTCTAAGTGTGAGAGGGTCGTGATTGATTGAGCAAGCAGGGGGTACGTGACTGGGGACTGCATGCACCGGTAATCAGAACGGAACAGAACAGGACAGGGATTTTTACAGTGCTCTTGCATACAATGTCTGGAATCTATAGATAACATAACCGGTTAGGTCGGGGTCAGTCTTTAACTACCAGGCCCAGGGCTTGGTACCGGGCCGTCTGCCTGTGGATTTCATTTCTGCCTTTTAGTTTTTACGACTTCTTTCTTTGGAGGCAGAAATTGGGCATAAGACAGTATGAGGGGTGGTCTCCTCCCTTAGACTGAGTCAGTGCTGATGAGACAGAAAGACAGATTGAGCTGATTTTTAGGAGACAAAATTCAGAATTGATAAGACTAGCTTAGACTTCGGGTATAGGTAGATTAAAAGGAGAAAAAAATAGCACTGTTATTGTTGTGTATCTGTTACTCGGTAAAATGTAATGCTAATCACATAAAAATGCTCAGAAATAGTTCTTTAATAAGTAAGTCTCCATAGAATTATCTGGTCTTGATTTAATTTTATTTCCAATTTTAAAATTACTTTCTATTAACTAGAACCTTCCATGCTTTACCCAGCCTCTTGGTGTGTTTCCAGTCTACAAGGATTCTCTTAATATTTCCAAGTGATTTACAAGCAGAAAACTAAAAGGTGACTTTGTTTTCCAACCACATATTTATCTATTTAGATAGTCATTAGCATAGTATTCAAAAGCCATCTGAGAATGACGTTGCATGACTAAAAATAAAGAAGGAAAGATGTCAAACCTCAATACACAAGCATGAACCTTCTTTTCATTGCAGGCCACATAGAGGAACACCACAATTTTTCTCAGTATTGAAGTTCATCTCAACCTCAACCAATCTTTAACTGTGTATCATAAACACAGATTTTTTTTCATAGAAAACAATTTCTAGTTTACAGAAAAAAATGTCAAACTCAGTCTATCAGAGCTTTAGAATTATCATGGAAGATGAACAACAAAGTATAAGCAAAATTGCTTGTTTTTGTAAGCTAACTGCAACTACAGAGATGAGAAAGTCTTCCATTGATATGATGGCTATCGTGCATATATTTTTATATGTTTCTAAGGATTGAAAGGAGAACTATCAGGGCTTCAGATACATTTTGAAGAGATAATGTTATGTATTTATTTTGAGAGAGGGTCTTAGCTCTGTCACTCAGGCTGAAGTGCAATAGCAAGATCACAGGTCACTGCAGCCTTGACCTCTGGGGTTCAAGTGATCCTTCCACCTCAGCCTCCTGAGTAGCTGAGACTACAGGCACTTGCCACCATGCCTGGCTAATTTTTAAAATTTGTAGACATGGGGGTCTCACTATGTTGCCCAAGGCTGATGTCGAACTCCTGGGCTCAAGCAATCCTCCTGCCTCAGTCTCCCAAAGTGCTGGGGTTACAGGCACGAACCACCACTCCTGGCAAGGAGATAATTTTATTTATTTATTTATTTAGCTATTTTTTTTTGAGACAGAGTCTTGCTCTGTCACCCAGGCTGGAGTGAACTGGTGCCATCTCAGCTCACTGCAACCTTTGCCTCCCGGGCTCAAGTGATTTGCCTGCCTCAGCCTCCTGAGTAGCTGGGATTACAGGTGTGCACCAACACGCCCAGCTTTTTATTGTATTTTTAGTAGAGATGGGGTTTCACCATGTTGGCCAAGCTAGTCTCAAACTCCTGACCTCAGGTGATCTGCCTGCCTCAGTCTCCAAAAGTTCTGGGATTACGGGTATGAGCCACCATGCCTGGCCAAGGAGATAATTTTAAATGATCAAAAATTTTGAAGGCATATCATACATGTACGTGTATGATCTCTGAAAAGTGTTTTAAAGATAAAGTCAGCAAAGTATAGCCTGTTGGCCAAATCTGACCCACCACCTGTTCTTGTAATGCTGTTAATTAAGAACAGTTTTTGCATTTTTAAATTTTTAAAAGGTTGAAAAAAATCAAAAGAAGAATAAAATTATCTGAAATTCAAATTTCAGTGTCCATAAAGAAGGTTTTATTGAAGCACAGTTCACTCATCCATTATGTACAGCTGCATTCATGCTACAATAGCAAAGCTGAGTGGTTATGACAAGACTTTCTGGCCAAGAAAGCCTAATGTACTTACTAGCTGCCTCTTTCCAGAGACTGTTTGTCAGCCCTGTTTTAAGAGCTTTCCTCTAAAGAAACACAAGCCTTTAGTAAACTGAAGACTTCTTCATAAAGATTTTCTGTGTCAGTGATACATTATGTTAAAAAAAGAAAATACATGAATTTAGTAAAGATAAGATTGATATTATAGACTAAAATAATAGGCTTGCCTTTATATTTAGGATGCTTATTTCCCACCTTATGTCACTAGCATAGTTACAAGAACACATGCTTTAGGGTAGTCATTCTTTTTTCTTGAATCTTGATGAGCTTTGCATGACCTTGGGCTAGTTATCTAACCTCTAGTAAGCCTTAGGTTTCCTATAAGAACAGAATAATAGCCATACCAGCCTCATGGGAGTATGGTAAGTACCAAAATGGGTAAGTGGGGCATTTTTTGGGGGGAATTACTTAGCTTGTTATCTGGTAGTAGGTGTGCAATAGATTATAATTATCATCATTCTCTGAAAATGTCACTTTTGCTTTCTGGTGCTCCATTCCTAGTACTGCCTGTAAGGTCTGCTTTGACAAGGAAATCTGTAAGACCCTGCCAACATCATTTTGCATAGCAAGAGCCCCTCTCTGTGTTACAATCTGGAGAAAAACCGTCCTCAGGTACGTGAATCCAAGAACACACTTGACAGAAGAATGGAAAAAGGGAAGCCTAGGAAGTCTAGAAACAAAAATCATAGTGATGAGCAGTGCTGGAAGGCTGGTCAGCAGCCAAAGTACAGCTTGTGAGCAGCATATTGGGATTTTTTTTTTTCCATGTTAGACTCGATTCCAACTCTTTCTATGGAGAGCCCACGGTTTTGTGATGGGTTGTTGATGAAGGAAAGCTCTGAATTTTTTAGAGTAGATGAAGTGTTTGTCATTTTATTCCATTTTATGTTAGGTTCACACTGCTATTTCTCTTTTAGTATTTGATGTCTTACCTGATGACATCCCAGGCAACTCCCAGGCGAAAAGTACCCAGAAAATCATGAGAGTGCAGTTCCTGGAAACTCAGTGATTTCTTTCTCGCTGGGCTTGCTCTGCCTTTAGAAACGTTGTGACTGTGGATTCCTGCGGAGGAACTAGGGCCTGGGGACCTCATGACTCCTCAGCTATGATGCACCTTCTCTTTTCTTCCCTTATCTCAAGTAGGTCCTGAGCAGCCCAGCCCAGGTGGTCTCTTCTGCTCACCAGAGGTGGCCTGGAGTCAATTGATAAGAGCCCTCTTTTCTTGGCCCTTACAAAAAAAATCTCTGCCTAAAGACAGCTAAAGGGGAGAAAAACACCACCAAACCAACAAGTCCTTTGTACCTCCATTATCCCCAAAATTAGATAAAGAAAAGTTAGAATACCAGGAGGCAGCAGACACCTCCACAATGCAGCTTGGAAGCAGAATTTCTGTAGATCTACTGTCCTTTTTTTTTTTTTTTTTTTCAATCACATAGAAGGGTTTGTACAAATCTCATTTGTTTTTACTTTCTGCATTTTTGTGTCTTGACACATTATTTTGAGGAAAATTCCTCTGAATTTTATGCTTGCTCTTCAATTATGGTTGAACAGGAACTGTTAATTGAGTTTAGCCACTCAAAAGAACAAAGTATTTCATCATTCTTACATATTCTGGTTGGATTCATGGTTAACGAAGACAAATAGAAACACTCACACATCAGCCAGGTGTGGGGATAAAACCAAAAACAGTGATGCTCACAGGCATGCCTGAGAGTGGAATGGTGGTGGTGGTGGGGGGTGCCTGTTTACTGGTAGTAGGAGTAACTCTCGTCATCGTATTCCAGCTCATCTTCGTCATCGTCATCCAGCAGCCCATACTTAAATTTCCGGTAGACTGTGCCATCCTGGCCCATGTAGACGATGTCATCATCATCATCCTCATCATAGTCCCGATCCCTGTACTCAATCACCTGATCCTCTTCAAAGCTGGTGCTCTCTCCATAGCTGCTCTTATAGGAGGAGTAAGACTTGTTGGGGTCGGCCAGCTTTTCATAGCCGGCCTTTGCTGCTGGCTGGACTCGGCCACGAGATTTCTTCCACACGACCACAGCTGCCCCGAGCAGAAGTGCCAGCATCACAGAGGAGGTGATGAATAGAGCTGTCTTGAAGTGCTCAGCTGCAGGCCTAACCTTGCTTGTTCGAAGGATGCACTCTTCTGTTGGAGGAAGATCCCAAGGGAAGAGGCAAGAGGGAAAAAGTGGAAGAAATAGAATAGAGAAAATTAGATTCTGAAGTAAAGAATTTCACCTTTATTTTAAAAATTGAAAATGGTAGAATCACTGTCTCTGATTTTCCTCTTTTTTTAATTTTAATTTTAATTTTAATTTTTTGTAGAGACAGCTTCTCACTATGTTAGCCTGCTGGTCTCAAACTCTTGGGCTCAAGAGATCCTCCCACCTTGGTCTCCCAAAGTGCTGGGATTACAGACGTGAACCACTGCACCCGGCCTGTCTCTAATTTTCCTAGAAGCCATACCACTGTATAGAATCCTAGCCTATGTCTGATGAAGCCAATAAATCCTTCTAGAAAGGTCAGTTTGCCATCCAAAGGGAGTTCCCTTATCCCCGTACCTCATAGGTCAGTCACCAAGTGTCCAACCTTATCAACTGATTCTTCTATTTCCCTCCTAAGAAAACATTTCATCTTGGACCAAGCTTTAGTTATTGCTAAATGCTCTGTTTTCTTTCTCAATTCCAACTTCTTTTCTAAGACTGAGTCCTCTCCCAAGGTACCCTTAAGCCTGGGCCAAGACGACTGTCCCACCACGTAAGGGCAAGAGCAGATAATTTATAAAACTACTGACTCCGAGAGCCATGTGGGGCCTTAGAAATTACTTAGGCCAATTTGTTGTTTGACATTTGAGGAAACTGAAGTCCATCGAGAGGAAGTGAATTGTCACATTGTCGGAGACAAGACCTTATTTGTGGAGCGATCAGAATTCAAATCCAGGAATCCTAGCTCCATGCTACAGTCTAAAGACATTAGGACAAAAGGCTCTGACAAGTGTTCTTTGGCTTCTTAGAGTTTTGTGCTCCTAGCCTGGCAGAAAAGGAAGCACCATCTTTAAATCCTATCAACTTGAATGATAGGGAACTTTTTTCTATCATTATTAAGAGTTTTTTTTTTTTTTTTTTTGAGATGGAGTATCGCTCTGTCGCCCAGGCTGGAGTGCCGTAGCACAATAGCTCGGCTTACTGCAGCCTCTGTCTCCCAAGCTCAAGCAATTCTCGTGCCTTAGCCTCCTGTGTAGCTGGGACTACAGGTGCACACCACCATGGCTTGCTAACTTTTGTATTTTTAGTAGAGATGGGGTTTCACCATGTCGGCCAGGCTGGTCTTGAATTCCTGACCTCAGGTGATCCACCCTCGGCCTCCCAAAGTGCTGGGGCATGAGCCACCACACCCAGCCATTATTAAGAGTTTTGAAATCCAGAGCTCCGACCCCTGTCATCCATCAGCCTCTGTTTTGATGCCTTGATTGAGAACATGGAGTAACCAAAACAGTTTCATGGAAGGAAAGATTCAACTGTAACTTTAGTGAGGAGGATGAGCTCATTTTTCTTACTTATTCATTTATCCAAGTGGTATGATTTGGGTAGTATGTCTATTTTTCTTCTATTCTTTAACCCACCACATGAGAGTATGAAAGAACCAGAGAAAAAACTCTCAGGCCATGTTGGATGTACAGGCTGAGATACACGTAGGTTTTTCATAAATATTTGTTGAACCTCTTGGATCTCTCTTGTTCAGGGGATAATTTCATGAACAATTCTAGGTACATTCTACACACTAGATAAATAAATATAACACTGCTGCCGAGGTGCAATGATTTTTGCTTATTAAATATTGACCAATTAGAGCTGATTCATCATGACTGTGTATTTCTCTTTCTTTTTTGCTAGTGAGAAACAAGTTTTCTACTTTATCATAGTTTTCATTCTCATGGGATTTTACCTATCAAGCCAACTTTCTTCTTCTAAAGTAACAGCCCTATCATTATTACATTCATCATTCGCAAGTTCAGCACAGAATTTTTCCCTGGAGAAAACATTAAAGCATTGGAGAGATTGATAAGCAATCTGTGTGTGGTACTGTGAGATAAACACTGCCTGAAGCAGTAGAATCAATATAAAAACCTTTCGATGTTGTTTCAATTACTAGGGTGCCATATGCAGTCATGGCTTGCTTACTATTCTCCATCCCAGATCTGCAGAGTCAGGGTTAGCCTTGTGATATGGTTTCCTTGAAGGGGTAGAGTGTCTCTGTAAAGAAGGATCAGGTAATCAAGAGCATTTAGACTTCTGTAGATTGCCGCAGGTGGCTCTTCAAGAGCTGCAGGGGGACCAGAAAAGCTGACAAGATAGTTCTTAGTTGGAACAGGCTTTCAGAAACTCTGCATGCAACATGCACAAACTTCTGGTTTCATTTAAAGGTGTTAATGTTGTGAGGGTTATTATTCTTAGCTGACACAGAATGGATACTAGCAATCAGACCCTGAAGGTAGGTGTGTCTGAAGAACACGGAAAACCAGCTGCTCATGGGGTTGGGAAAGCTGAAAGAAGGAAAATGTTTTTGGAAAGATGATACTTAAAACCCAACTGAAAATGCTGACCAAGCCAGGTGCAGTGGTTCATGCCTGTTATCCCAGCACTTTGGGAGGTTGAGGCAGGTGGATCACCTGAAGTCAGGAGTTCGAGACCAATCTGGCCAACATGGTGAAACCTGTCTCTACTAAAAATACAAAAATTAGCCGGGTGTGGTGGCGCATGCCTGTAATCCAAGCTACTCTGGAGGCTAAGGCAGGAGAATCGCTTGAACCTGGGAGACAGAGGTTGTAGTGAGCCGAGATTGTGCCATTGCACTACAGCCTGGGTGACAGTGAGACTCCATCAAAAAAAAAGAAAAAAAAATGGTGAAAAGAAAGAAAAGAAAGAAAAAAAGAAGACGGAAGGAAGGAAGGAAGAAAGGAAGGAAGGAAAGAAGGAAGGAAGGAAAAGAAAGAGAAAGAAAGAAAGAAAGAAAGACAGATGCTGATCAAAAATAAAAAAGAAGTGGCTGGTAGCAGTTATGGGTCTGGGATTTTCTTTTTTCTTTTGATGGAGTTTCACTCTTCTTGCCCAGTCTGGAGTGCAGTGGCATGATCTCGGCTCATCGCAACCTCTGCCTCCCAGGTTCAAGTAATTCTTCTGCTTCAGCCTCCCTAGTAGCTGAGATTACAGGCATGTGCCACCACACCCGGCTAATTTTGTATTTTTAGTAGAGACAGGGTTTCTCCATGTTGGTCAGGCTAGTCTCGAACTCCTGACCTCAGGTGATCCACCCGCCTCGGCCTCCCAAAATGCTGGGATTACAGGCATGAGCCAACGTGCCCGGCCTGGGTCTGGGATTTTCTTTACTTACAAATGGACCAACTCAGAAATATGGCATCTCTTTTTGTAGGTGAATGTTACTTCTAGACCCCAAGGAAATTATCTACTTCTGGCCTAGACAGTATATTTTAAGAATATATGTTTCTTTTTTTAAGAAAAAATCACTCAGTTTGAGATTTTTCTAAGTTTATGACCAATGAGAACCAAGTACCCACATGGATGGGGTTAGACTTGAGGATAGCTGAGGGACTGGAAATTGGTAAAGGGGGTTTTACTTCTTCTTACCCTTCAATAAAAATTCATTTCTAAAATGTCATAAGTCTCCAAGGAGAGGCCCCGGTTTGGGCTGACTTTCATAGAATGATTCTTCAACAGAATCAAGATAATATTGACATCAGCTTCCTTGATAGTTGATTCTTTTCCTTTTTTCCCAGGAGGGAAGAATAAAAAAAGGAACAAAGTAATTCATAAAGATAAAATGCTAGCTCTACTTGAGTTCTAGTCTTGGAGGCAAGCGGAGCATCTAATTCCAGATGAACCATTTTTTAAAAAAAAATTGAGCCAGCATCTTGCTCTGTCACCCAGGCTGAAGTGCAGTGGTGTGATCTCGGCTCACTGCAATCTTTGCCTCCTGGGCTCAAGAGATCCTCCCACCTCAGCCTTCTGAGTAGCTGGGACTATAGGCATGCACCACCACGCCCAGCTAATTTTTGTATTTTTAGTAGAGATGGAGTTTTGCCATGTTGCTCAGGCTGGTCTCAAGCTCCTAGACTCAAGTGATCTATCCGCCTCGCCCTCCCAAAGTGCTAGGATTACTTACAGGCATGAGCCAACGTGCCTAGTCTCCAGATGAAACTTTTAATACTGGTGTGGACTTAGGCATGTGAATCAAACTCTTTGAGCCTCAGTCTCCTCGTCTATAAAATGGGACTGATAATCTCTACTTGTGAAGTGAGACAATGGACATGAAATTTCAAGTACAGTAGGCCCATAGTAGGCACTCAATAAAAAGGTAGCCATATTGATTCTCCTGAATTTTCCATCCCCCCTCCCTCTGCTCCCATTGGCTTCCTGAGGACATGCCCTTCCTCTGCAGGCTGCTCTTGCTCTCCCCTCACCCGTGGTGTCCTGGCAGTCACAGCACTCCTGGGCACTGGTGGGATCGGAGGTGTTGCAGCAGTGGAGGCAGCGGCTGTCGTCCATGTGCAGCACCAGGTTGGCGGGGCACAAGGTGCAGTTCTTGGCCCCTGGTCCCTTGCATTCCATGCAGCTCTCGTGGCATTTTTCACAGTTAAACTTCTCTCCCTGTTAAGAGCAATCAAGAGGTTCCGTCTGAGTGCAGAGGGATTAACAAGCACTGGAGTTCCCAGATGGTATTTCATCTTGTCTCCATAAGGAGGGAGGTATGTGGGGGACAGCAGAAGGATGGTGTGTTCTGAGCCCATTTTAACTGTGCTGGGTGAAAGAACCAACTGTCTGTGATGGGGTGGAATCATGGCTGTGCCCTGCCCTTTGAGATCTGCTAATAACAGTGGGAGAACAGACGTCTAGAACAGTTTGGGTTAGGAGCTGACAGCTCCTGTGCTCAAGGACAGCTCCTGTGCTTAAGGACAGCTCAGGTCAAGGACTAGTTTTGTCTGGCCCACACTGTTGACTTTCAGTTTAAAATATTTTGCATTCATTTCCCACATCTCAAAAGTGGGATATTTCACATGTACATTCGTTCCTAATTTCTCTTTAGAAACTAGAAGACCTGTCAACACTGGATTCATCACTCCCACGTGGCAATGGCCCCCCTTTCCACTCTTCTATTTGACACAATTCCCAGCACTTGCTATGATGTCACCAACATGTAGGTGATACATCAATTTCCACTTTCCTTCAAGCTTCAAGCTTACACTGTGGTTTTCTTTGACCCAGCATTTATGTTTGTGACCTGCTTGGCCCCCTGTGGTTACTGGATTATTGTGGTCAGGCCCCAGAATAATATAGATTGTGACTGTGTAGCTCAAGTAGTTACATCTCTTTAGGAAGAGAGTGGAGAGATGATAAGAAAGTGGCTTCCCTCCTGACAAGTTGCTCCTTGACTGGTGCTGGAAATGTGGGTTAGGGAAGGTGCCTTCCTGTTTTACTTCTGTAACTTTGGAAGTATGATATGACAGAAAAAGAAGGAATGGAAATTGCTTTTGTTGAGCACCTTGGCATGTTTCAGGCACTGACAAGGTGCTTTCTCAGCTGTTACTATCTCATTGAATCCTGCATCTCACATATTATCTCATCCTTCAGGTTTAATCCCAGCTTTGTTACTTACCACTCATATAATTTTTTTTTTTTTTTTTTTTTTGAGACAGGGGCTTACTTTATTGCCCACGCTGGAGTGCACTGGTGTGATCGGATTCAAGCAATCTTCCTGCTTCGGCCCCACATATAGCTGGGACTACAGGCACACACCACCATGTCCAGCTAATTTTCTTTTTTTGTATTTTTTGTAGAGATGGGGTTTCACCATGTTGCCCCGGCTGTACTCATATAATCTTTAACACATTATTTAACCTCTTTGAGCCTCAGTTTCTCTAAGCTGTAATGAGGGCTGTTGCCAGAATTTAAAGAGAACTCATATGTAAATATATTAGTTTGTGTTAATTTCATCATGGGGAAATTTACTTATTTTCTAAAGTTTGAAAACACAATCAAGAAATTTGTAGTCTTGCCGGCTGCGGTGGCTCACACCTGTAATCCTAGCACTTTGGGAGGCTGAGGTGGGTGGATGACTTGAGCCCAGGAGTTCGAGACCAGCCTAGGCAACATGGTGAGACCCCGTTTCTACTAAAAATACAAAAAATTAGCTGGGCATGGTTGTCAGAGGCATTTGAACCAGAGCAACTCCATCTTGAATAGGGGCTGGGTAAAATAAGGCTGAAACTTACCGAGCTACATTCCTAGATGGTCAGGCATTCTAAGCTACAGGATGAGATAGGACATCGGCACAAGATACAAGTCATAAAGGCCTTGCTGATAGAACAGCTTGCAGTAAACAGCCAGCCAAAACCCACCTAAACCAAGATGGCAATGAGAGTGACCTCTTGTGGTTCTCACTGCTACACTCCTACCAGCGCCATGACAGTTTACAAATACCATGGCAACATCAGGAAGTTACCCTATACGGTCTAAAAAGGGAAGCCATGAATAATCCATCCTTTGTTTAGCATATCATTAAGAAATAACCATAAAGATGGGCAAGCAGCAGCCCTCACAGCTGCTGTGTCTATGCAGTAGCCATTCTTTTATTCCTCTACTTTCTTAATAAACTTGCTTTCACTTTGCCCTATGGTTTTGCCCTGAATTCTTTCTTGTGTGAGATCCAAGAACCCTCTTTCGGGGTCTGGATTGGGACCCCTTTCCGGTAGCATCTTTCTGGCAACCACAGAAGTGACAATAGTGAGGAAACTCCCAACCAAAGGCTAACTTTGGGTAAGTGGTGGGGACCAGTGACATGGTAGTCCCAGATATTCAGGAGGCTGAGTTGGCAGGATCACCTGAGCCCAGGAGGTCAAAGCTGCAATGAACTGTAACTGCGCCACTGCACTCCAGCCTGGGTGAGAGTGAGATCCAGGCTTAAAAAAAAAAAAAAAAAAAAAAAAATTATGGTCTTAAAATCCATGGCAAATGAATCCTCATTTTTTTCCTTCCTTCCTTCCTTCCTTCCTTCCTTCCTTCCTTCCTTCCTTCCTTCCTTCCTTCCTTCCTTCCTCCCTCCCTCCCTCCCTCCCTCTCTCTTTTCTTTTCTGTTCTTTTCTGTTCTGTTCTGTTCTGTTCTGTTCTGTTCTGTTCTGTTCTCTTCTTTTCTTTTCTTTTCTTTTCCATGGGGGGTTTTCTGGTAGAAACCAGAAAACCTGCTGTACAAATTCTAAAAGAGCTGTAACACTGCAAATGAATCCTTTTTAATACACTGTGATCAGGTAGAGGAAACAAAAGGTCAACATTAGCTGTGTTGCTCCTATGTTATTCACATGTTTCTGGTTAGACCAGAGAGAAGTAAGGGAGAAGATAGTTTGTATTTCTGACATAACATTCTTATGTTGACTGAAACTTCTATGGTGATGAACAACAAATAAAGAATTCATTCCAAGGCCCTCACGACTTAACTTCTCCATTAGCTTAGATCTTCTCAGTTCCTTTGGAGTAAAAGTTAAGGCTACAGGTGGGTAGCACCATTATTCCATGATGCAATGGTACAAGATTTTAAAATATTAAACATACAGTATTTCTATAGTATGAGAATTTTGGGACATTTTGATTGGCCAGAATGACATGCAGGAACTAAGCTCATGTTCCTCTCTGGAGAGAGCAGAAGGCCCAGCACCCCTAGCCCTCCATACCTCTCCCACTCTGTATTCCCCAACAAGACAGTCCGAGGTGCAGATCCCTCCCATGAGGTGGTAACTCCACACACAGGATAAGCAATTCAACGCTCCTTTTCCTGAAAGAGAAAACATTCTAAGTTATGAGATTGACCTTAGATTTCAACCTCTGTCTCTGTTCCGGAACACTTAGGAACAAGGAATATGTCAAGTAAATTGAAGCGGAAGGGTGAATTGATTGAGGATATGAAAAAGAAAAAAGTCTCCCACACAAAGTAGAAATTATACAATTAGTTCAATCTATGTCGACTCTCAGTCTGAAAATTGAGGATTTGGGGATGACAGATATTTTATTACAGCAAAAGAAAAGATTTTCAGAGAATGAGAAATCGTGTAGAAAGTTTATAAAACCTTTGTTATTCTGCTTATTGTTTAACTAGTGTGGAGGATGTTACCAGCTGTTTGGAGGACTGCAATACTCAGTGCATAAATCATGAATAGAGAGTTTCTAATTGAGAAACAGCACTAAACTTGGCACTTAAATGCTAGGGCTAAAAGGATTCAGCAGGTCATTTTGTTTGGTGGTTCTTAATTTTGGGGTGGTGTTGATGGTGCTAGATTTCTTTGAAATTCTCTTGAAAGCTGTAAGTTCTCTTCTCAGAAATTTGACATCTTATTTATTTCTCTTTTTGAAAATACTGATAAATGAAAACTAAGGCCCAGACATGTAATGCCACCTATCCAGGGTTAAGATTCAAATTCAAGGTGGTCAAGATTCAAATTCAAGTTTGTTGACTCATAATCCATTGATCTGTCTTTCTTTCTTTTTGTTTTCTTTTGTTTTTTTTTCAGATGGGGGTCTTGCTATGTTGCCCAGGCTGATCTCAAACTCCTGGACTCAAAGGATCCCTCTTGCCTCAGCCTCCAAGTAGCTGGGATTACAGATGTGTGCAATTGCGTGTTGCTGAGGTGCTCTTTCTACCACGCTATCTGCCTTAGCACATAGCCACCAAATAGAGGAGGTCTGAATCTACAGCCTCTGTTTCCTGTGGAGACAATACTCTTCTCTCCTAATTCAGACACCCCAGAAAGGACCGACCCAAACATTTCTTCTATGCAGGTATCAAGGGATAACTTCTGGAAAGTTTGGGGACAGGAGACCTAAATCTAGCTCATTCTGTTAGGAAGTCCTGGACATTTTTACTGATCATTTTTAAATGGGAACATAAGATTAATGGGCTTAGAATGTGCCTGGTATTGTAGGTTGGAACTTGATATAGGTCTTCCCATCAGAACAATCCTGTAAAGGGTGGTTTCTGAACTTGAAATAGAACCATGGATCTGTCATTTACATTCACAATGTAGTTAAATTGACATTTCATGGCTGAACTGTGAGCTCAATCATTTATAATGTTTCTGTGGAAAAATAAATTCTGAGCTCCAAACAACAGCTTAGAGAATAAACACTTTTATTACTGAACTGCTTCTTAGATTGGAAGCTGCCTGTAGTGATATAAATTCAAAACCACTTTATTTTTATCTTAGCTCTAGCCTCATACAGAATTTCCTACATGTTCTGGAACATTATTGTGGTCTCTGATGGAAGAATCAATCTTCTCCTATTTCCATTCTTCCTTTTTCCCATTCTACATTTTTCTAAAATATAGCTTAGATGTCTTACTTCAATTTTTAACATACAAGAGACTTTTTTTTTTAAATGAAGAGAAATTAAGGGTAGATACATGTTCTCACTTTAATGTGGAATCTAAAACAATTGAACTCATAGAAGTAAAGAGTAGAATGGTGGTTACCAGAGGCTGAGGGGACTGGGGAGATGCTGGTCAAAGGGTATAAGGTTCTCAACAGAAAGAACATGTTTTTTGAGATCTATTATATCTCATGGTGACTATAATTAACAATAATATATTGTACTTTCAAAATTGGTAAGACAGTACATTTCAGATGTTCTTACCACAAAAATGATTAAGTATTTGAAGTGATGGAATTTTTTTTTTTTTTTTTTGGTGGAATCTTGCTCTGTTTCCCAGGCTAGATTGCAATGGTGCAATCATGGCTTGGTGTAATCATGGCTCACTGCAGCCTTGACCTCCTGGGCTCAGGTGATCCTCCTACCATAGCCTTCTGAGTAGCTGGTACTACAGGCTCACACCCCATACCCAGCAAATATATATTATATATTATTTATTTTTGTTTTTAGAATAGAGTCTTGCTTTGTCACCCAGGCTGGAGTGCAGTGGCGCAATCTCAACTCACTGCAAACTTTGCCTCCCAGGTTCAAGCAATTCTCCTGCCTCAGCCTCCTGAGTAGCTGGGACTACAGGCGTGCACCACCACACTTGCCTAATTTTTTTGTATTATCAGTAGAGATGAGGTTTCATCATATTGGCTAGGCTGGTTTCAAACTCCTAACCTCAAGTGATCTGCCTGCCTTGGCCTCCCAAATTGCTGGGATTACAGGCATGAGTCACTGCGCCTGGCCAAATTTTGTTTATTTTTTATAGACATGAGGTCTCACTATGTTGCCTAGGCTGGTCTCAAATTCCTGACCTCAAGTGATCCGCCCACCTTGGCCTCCCAAAGTACTGGGATTACAGGTGTGAGCCACTGTACCTGGCCTGATGGACATGTTAATTAGCTTGATTTAATTATTCCACATTGTATACATATATCATGACACCCTTTTGTACCCTATAAATATATATAATTATAATTTGTCAATTTATAATAAAATAAATTAAGAGTAGAAAACACTAAAAGAGGGGGAACAGTCCATAACTAGGTTAGGTCACAAAATTCTTACCTTAAAGTTGGTTACATTTTCTTTTTTTTTTCTTTTTGTTTTTGGAGACGGGGTTTTACTCTTGTTAGTAGAGACGGGGTTTCACCATGTTGGCCAGACTGGTCTTGAACACTGACCTCAGGTGATCTGCCCGCTTTGGCCTCCCAAAGTTTACAGGCATGAGCCACCGTGCCTGGCCAAGTTTGGTTACATTTTCCAGAAGACCAACAATAAATTGTCTGAGGCCCAGATCCTAGGCAATACCCAAGGGCACTATATGTCAGCTTTGGGTGACAAATCAGACTTCATTTACAGCTCCTACACCAATTTATTGCAAAACTTGCACACTTAGGGTACTCAGAATCTTTAGCAAAAGGCACTTTGTTAATTTCCAGAAGGCTTTCTATTATTTTAAAGTTTAACACCCTACATCTATCATCGCTTCTAAGGTTCTGCGGGAGCTTTGGGACCTAAAAGACAGGCGTTTTGTCATTTCTTTAAAACTCAGAGCAGCTCACCATCTGCTCTCCTTCAGACTGAATCCCACGGGATGAATTCAACAAAGGCAGAGCAACTTCTGGGGTCTGTTCATGGGCCTCAGTCCGCACAGAAAGATGCAGCTTGGGAGAGTTAAGAGGCTTTGGTTACTCAGCCTGGATTTTGATTCCAAACCATTTTATGAGGAGAAGAAACAATAACACAAAACCAAAAAACAAACGAAAAATAAATAAAATTTTATGAGGAGGATAAGTAAAAAGTTAGGTGTGTGAAGGCAAGAAATGAGCTAATTATGGAGGTATCAGTTACAGAGAAAGGTACATATGAAGCCTGGGTGTGCTATGTTTTCCTGCTCCACCCTTCCTTCCATGCTTTTACATATTTTTCCTTTTTAACATCCTAAAATTGTTGGGCAGTCCAAAGTGAGCAAAATATAATTTAGTTGGTAATTTCTTATTTAGGCTGCTAAATTTTTTTTCTGATTCTTTCATGCATCCTCATTTCTTTACTATGAGAGTTAATGACTTAAAAAGGAAGGAATTCATCTTTTTTTTCTACCTAGTTTATATCCCACGAGAAAAACCTGTCTCCAGATTTTGTATCTATATGTTACAAAACCAGATGATAGCACAACATTTTCCTAACCAGCAAGGGACATGTGTGCTATAGTAAAGAAAGGACTGCTCATTGCAAATAATTATATTAAAAAATAACATTAAATAAAAAATAAAAATTAAAAAAAGAATGATAGCAGAAAAAATGAGCACCAAAGATAGAAAACTTCAACTGGGCAAGTTCATGGGTTGACGTCAAGTACAAGAGGAAGAGGTACAAACACTCAGGACAGCTTCAAGATTTACCCACTAACTCCTAGTCATCCCCTGAATACAATCTCAAGAACACTGTGTGGATGAACTTTTGAGACTGAGAATGCCCAAAATCATCATCCTTAATTCACCCAGGAAATCTCAAACCCAACTAAAGACACGTATAGTATTTCTATACTATAAGGGCATAGTAACCAAAATACCATGGTACTGGTACAAAAACAGACACATAGACCAATGGAAAAGAATAGAGAACCCAGAAATAATGCCACACACCTAAAAACCTGATTTTTTACAAAGTCGGCAAAAATAAACAATGGGAAAAAGAATTTTGGATACACGCAGAAGAATAAAACTGGATCCCTACCTATCACCATACAGGTGATAACTCAAGATTGATTAAATATTTAAATGACAACAACCCCATCAAAAAGTGGGCAAAGGATATGAACAGACACTGCTCAAAAGAAGGCATTTAAGCAGCCAACAGACACATGAAAAAATGCTCATCATCACTGGCCATCAGAGAAATGCAAATCAAAACCACAGTGAGATACTATCTCACACCAGTTAGAATGACGATCATTAAAAGGTCAGGAAACAACAGGTGCTGGAGAGGATGTGGAGAAATAGGAACACTTTTACACTGTTGGTGGGACTGTAAACTAGTTCAACCATTGTGGAAAACAGTGTGGTGATTCCTCAAGGATCTAGAACTAGAAATACCATTTGACCCAGCCATCCCATTACTGGGGATATACCCAAAGGATTATAAATCATGCTGCTATAAAGACACATGCACACGTATGTTTATTGTGGCACTATTCACAATAGCAAAGACTTGGAACCAACCCAAATGCCCATCAGTGACAGACTGGTTTAAGAAAATGTGGCATATATACACCATGGAATACTATGCGGCCATAAAAAAGGATGAGTTCGTGTCCTTTGTAGGGACATGGATGCAGCTGGAAACCATCATTCTCAGCAAACT